GAAGAGGTGGTGGCGGAGGAGAAAGAGGAAGAGGAGGAAGAGGTGGAGGAGAAGGAGGCCCACTTGGGAGGGGCTAGCCTTAGTGGAGCCTCTCTTCTTCATTGCTGGTGGATTTTCCACGGCAGGCCACACGAGGTGTGGACAACTTCTGAAGTCGTCCACGGGTGACTCTGTTCCTCAAGATCTGGGAGTCTCCACTTCTGACCGAGCCTTCTACCTTCAATTCGCAACATCAGCAGAACCCAACGTTCCTCAGCTTGGAGAACGTCCAACGATGCTGGGACTTCTTCAACCCAACCCAGTTTTCCTGCTGGCGGAGGAACGCAGAGCGCGTAGAGGTCCAGGCCTCCGGACCTCCGAATAACCAGGTTGAGGAAAGGGGCAGCATTGTGTATATAAAAGATCCCAGGGCACCCCCTGAAAAACCCATTTGTTTTGCCCACCGTTAAGCCCAACATTAGCGCCATCTGGCTAGGCTGGGGTGTTTTTTCTTGCGTAACCGGAGGCTTTGATGTGACGGAGAATTTCTGATCGTTGCTGTATTTCTGGTTTCCGCTCGTCCCAGTGGGGGTTGAAAACGTCGAAGGGTTTCAAAACTGACAAAACTAGCTATTGTGCCTTATTTCTCATGTGACTCTGTCCAAATGTCGAACTTGCAAGCAGGTTGGTTCATGTACTAACTGTGGCCAGAGGAAAGAGACTGTCACAACTCCCATGCTTTCTCGCCATGAATGTATCGTTGTGCCACAATGAATCAATTGTTAAACTGGAAAAAAAAAAAAAACCAAAACAAAACTTGCTGATCAGAGTTTGTTTGCGAAGTCTGTCTCTAGCTCTTCTCAAATTTTATTATTATTATTATTATTATTATTATTATTATTATTATTATTATTATTATTCATTGCACAGTCAGCCAGACTGCGGTTTGGCATTTTTGTCAACCTCTCGAGTCCTTACCAAGGACCTGGGATAGGCAAATCTCGCCACAGGATGGAATCTCGCCACAGGATGGAAGCTGTTCCACGTCAAGCTGCCTTCTGCAATTGACCGGTGGCAAATGTGTCAATGCCACCGATGGTGTTCCAGTGGTGTTTGAGACTGCACCGAGGTGCCTATGACTATTGGTCCTACCGGTGGTAGGATTCAAATTCTTTTACTACCAGTTCTGTGGGCGTGGCTTGGTGGGTGTGGTGTGGCTTGGTGGAAGGATATACTGCAAAATCCCCATTCCCTCCCCACCCAATAACCTGCTTTCCAGTTCCGTTCTCCTGTGCAGGGCAACCAAAGGAGACCCAGCCAACCAGCTGTGGGCGTGGCTTGATGGGCGTGGTGTTCTGTGGGTGTGTCTTGGTGGGCGTGGCAGGGGAAGGATATACTGCAAAATCCCCCTTCCCTCCCCATCCCACTAACCTGCTTTCCAGCTCCGTTCTCCTGTGCAGGGCAACCAAAGGAGACCCAGCCAATCAGCTGGGACTCGATGGGAGGTGGAGAACAGATGGGGTTGGAGGAGCCAGTCAGAGCGGGGTATTGGCCAGTTCTCTCAAAATTTCCACTCCCGGTTCTCCAGAACTGTTCGGAACCGGCTGAATACCACCTCTGGGTACTACCCATGCTTGCTTTTGCCATAGTTGTTCTATTTCTATTTGTAGGTCTTTGTATTTTGTGATCTTCTCCAGTTCTTTCTCTTCTCTTCTCCTGTCTCCAGGCACGGCCACATCCACCACCACCACTGTCATCATTGTTATTAAATCTTTAGTGAGATTCACAGCCTTTGGGGCTGGTTGGTAGCTCAACAGCTCGAGTCCTAACCAAGGACCTAGGAGCTGTTCAGGTAGCGTCGGAGGATATAAGCTGCTCCAAGTAGGGTGGATTTTTGTAGAATCGGGGTATTCAAGTCTGATAAATTCAGGATTTCCAAATAGCGAGGCAGCCCTTTAGGTATTGCTCCAAGGGCATTAATTACAATTGGGATCACACACGATTTTTTTTTCCCAAAGTCGCTCAACTTCAATTTGTAAGTCCTGGTACTTTGTGATTATTTTTCTTGCTGCATATCTACATTATTATTATTATTATTATTATTATTATTATTATTATTATTATTATTATTATCATCATGAGAGACGAATTCAGGAGGAGCACATCCTGCACATCTCTCGCTTGGAGCTATCCTTTTTCATTCTATTACTTCTCCAAACACGCAGCGCACCGATGCTGGGAAGCAATTCACAGAAATGTCAAGTTATTTAAAAGAATAAGGTGCAGACCCGAGATTTATGGGAAGACAGAGCAAGTGGATTATGCATGTGCTTTTTGTGTGTGTGTGTGTGTGTGTGTGTGTGTGTGTGTGTGTGTGTTGCTTAAAATATACCCCATAGACAGAGCAAAATGTTCCATTGTTATAGCCAAGAGACAAACTGCTCAACGGCATTTATAATAATAAAAGCGAATAAATCATATCCTTTATTTCTTGACACAAAACTCAGGGTCCCTCCCTCCTTCCCTCCTTCTTCCAAATGACTGAATAATTCAGCTGCTTTGCATCCTCGCACATTAATTCTACATGTTGATTCGTTTTTATCGCTACGATTCCTGCTCTGGAAAAAAAAACAAAAAACACGAGACATCTGTCAATATGATGGACAGGCTGCAAGGGAGATGGGATGTCAGGTAGTCCTCGGTTTACAACCAAAATGGAGAGCCGCAAAATTTCCATCGCGAAGCCAGATGGCCGTTAAGTGAATTATGCCCCATTTTACGCCCTTTCTCGCCACCGGGGTTAAGAGATTTGCTGCAGTTGTTAAGTAAGTGTGAAAAACAGTCACTGTTTCCAGCACCATTGTAACTTCGGTCACTAAACGAACTGTTGTAAGTTGAGGACAACCTGCCCTACTTCTGAAGTCTGTCTCTGGGACCGGCCCACACCTTGGGCAGGGGGTTGGACTAGATGACCTACAAGGTCCCTTTCATTAATCTGTAATCTGTAAAAAAAAAAAAAAAGTTAACAATGTTAGCGCTGTTTGTGAATATTTTAGAGGCTCTGCAATCTGCTTTTTTTTAATTTCTACGTTTATCCATTTTATTTATTTGCTCGCTTGTTTGTCCTCTACGCTATTGCAAAATCCTGGGAGATTCTGAGCTTTCTCTTATTTCAGCAGAGGAGGGGAAGAAAAATAATAAATGAAAATAGCAAACCGTATCACAAAACGACGATCGATAACAAGCTCTGCGTTTTGAGGCTTGGTTTGATGCTGTCATATTTATTTGAACTTCGGCACGATCGATTGGCTTAGCGTAATAACGAAGTCACGTCCAAGCCAAGTGTAGCTGTTGCCTGAGAAAAATTGGGGTGTGCTGCAAAATATCGGGGTGTATGTGTGTGTGTTTGTGCGAGAGAGAGTGGCTTCTATTTTGGACCACCTTCTCTCCAGACTTCTATATCTTATTGCTGGGTTGTTGTTTTTTTATGGTGCTAAAAAAAATAAAAAATAGAAGTCGGTTCAATTTTCAAGGTAACCTCACACACACACACACACACTATTTGCAGCCTCAATCACGCTCGTGCCCGATTCTCTCTACATCTTGAAAATAGTTTGAAGGTTTTTGGCTTGTCTTGTTAGGCCAGGAATAGCGATGTCACCTTCAAGCCAATGGTTGCCCCTCCCTTGTTCTACCTCTCCCCTGCTCTGCCCAGCCAGACTTCGCCCTTCACCAGTTTCTTCCACAGCCAACGGAGCCACATTCCCGCTCCCTGTCAGCTGTTTGTCTTCCTCCTCCTCCGATTCAGACTCTGAAAGGGGCACGATAGCCCTTGGGAACGGCCACGGGAGAAGCAATCGATTCTTTGTGGATTTATTTCTGTACGTTTGTAAGCCAACCCCATCACGAGCTCTAGGCAGCTCCCCATAAAACAAAAACCACTAATGATAAAGGCAGAATATTCCAATGCAAAGCCGTTAAGCTAAAATTCAGAGGCGTATATCAAAAAAAATCTGTTTTCCAAAAGCCCGGGAGAAAAATAATCATCACTAAATTCTTTGGTACAAGAAACCGGAATCATCTTCACCTTGAATGTACAGAGTGTTTCAAGGAGCCAGGAGGGCAGCACCTGAGAAGGTACACAGAAGGTCCGAGGCCACCTCTGGGGGCAATTACAGGTAGTCCTTGACTTATGACAATGGAGCCCCTGCTTCTTCTAAGCAAGGCAGTGAGTCGTGCCCCATTCTGCCGCCTTTTGTCGTTCAAGTGAATCACCGCAGATAATAACACAATTGTTAAGCGAATCTGGCTTCCCCGTGGCTCGTTAGAAGGTTGCAATTGGGGAGCATGTGATCCCGGGATACGGCAACCGTCATAACTATGAAACCAAACATCTGAATTTTGTCTCCGGTCCTTGGCTGCGGAAGGTTGGCCACCTCTAGGGGACTGGAGACTAAAACATGCAATGAACGGTTGCAGGAACTGGGCCTGGCTAGTCTAGTGGAGAGAAGGACCAGGGGAGACAGGAGAGCAGCCTTCCAATATTTGAGGGGCTGCCACAGAGAGGAGGAAGGGGTCAAGGTATTTTCCAGGGCCAGAGAAGGAATAATGGATGGAAACTGAACAAGGAGAGATTCAACTTGGAAATAAGGAGAAACTTTCTGACAGGGAGAACAATCAACCCATGGAACAGAAGTTGCCCTCGGAAGTTGTAGGAGCATCACCACTTGAGACCTTCAAGAAGAGACTGGACTGCCATTTGTTAGAAATGGTGTAGGGTCTCCCGCTTGGGCGAGGGGTTGGACTAGATGACCTACAATGTCCCTTCCAACTCTGATTATCTGTTAAATCTGTTAAACCTCCGAATTGGAGGTCTAATTCTTACTTCTACTTTTACAGTTATTTGCAAAGAGTCAGAGCGGTGTTAAGTTTTGAGCCATCCCTCTGCGTATTTCTGCCCTCTTTCTGCGATCTCACAGGTTGAAATGGTCATTAAAAGGAAGATTTAAAAAAAACAACCTTCCGATGGTTAAAAAAAAATCTTTTTGCTCTGGACTTTATTAACAAGAAATACACACAGGCACACATTAAGTGGGGTCTCTTTAAGCAGAAACACGATTAAAGTAAGTTTGCGCATTGGCCAGTTGGCGAAAAATGTTGAGTAGAGATTTGCAGAAAGCAAGCGGTGTATTTTCTCAGGAATTCAGTATTTGCCAATTCGCTGCTCGCTGTGATTTTATAGTCCATACCTAGCAATAACAAGAATTTGCTATATTTATTCTTTCGTCCTAGCAGGGGCCTGTTAAGAGAATTAATTCTCATTAATACGTAACTTTCCTTTGCTGAGGCTTAAACTGAGCAACTCCTGGGGGGTTTGGTGTTGGTGGGGGAACGGGACAGAGAAGTGGCAAGGCAATAAAACCTGCCCATCGAAAGCAACCTCTTTATAAGTTGAATTTTGGAGACTGTCCTTGCTGCTTGGGCTCAGCACTGCAGATAGAGCAAAGTGCCCCCTGGCGCTGTGAGTAATTAAACGAGACAATTTAAATAAATTATTCTGTTTGTTCAATCCTTGAATGTGCTTCTTTTCGGGTATCCTTTCTGCAAATTCTTAAATGGAAAGAAATTTGAAACGGAAAGAAATTCTAAACAGAAAGAGATTTGCGGGAATTTCTGGAAACGGGTTCACTTAAATTCTCTTGTTTTTCTCCAAAGGCGCACAGAGAACTCTTCCGCCTGAAACGGCCCATCGTTTCCTCTCCATCCGTTTCTCAGCCCCACTGGAGACCTGGGGGGATCGTCCATCCGCCAGGAGGGGGCGCTCTCAGGGAGGGTGGCAGTTCCTGGATCGGGGGCCAACCAGGCGGATACTGGAAAACCAATTCTTCTTCAGAAAGAGGACTAGGAGGAAAGAAAAAAAATCTGATTTAAGGGGGGGTGGGGTGGAAATGTTTTCACAATCCCACTCTTTACACTTTGGACCACACAACATCTCTGTGGCGGAGCAAAATGGTTTGTGATGACCCAAAGGGGCGTGGCACAAAGGCCACACGGTCAGAGAATTAGTAGGAGTCCCTTTATTAGCTCCAACTTGGCCCCCAATGTCCAGGTTACCTTCTGGGCTGGAGAAAAACTCTCCCAGGAACAGCCAAGTCCAAAACATGGTCAACAAAAACTGTAACTATAAGTCCAATCAAGGGCAAATGAGGTAATTTCTCCCTCTGAACACAAAGAGAATTTATCTGCTGAACAAAACTCCGCATTGGCGACAGGAAAGGCATCTGGCCAGTAAACACTCAGCTCCACTCAGTTGCCCAGACTCCATCCCGCAAGGGATTAAAAGGGTCGTTAAAAGGTGGTGATTACGGGGCGGCTGCCAAGGTTGTAACTGGGAAAAAGGTCGTCCCTTTTTCTTCAGGGTCATTGCAACTTTCAACGGTCACTAAATGAACAGTTGTCAGTCAAGGGCTGCCTGTATATACCCTCCGACAATAAAGCCGAGTTTCCCCAAATTTCTTGGCGGTACCCCGGTTTTATGGAGCCGGGATACCTCAAAAGGCCAGACAACTTTCGGCTTCCCTTGCCGATGGCGGGGAGAACCCCTACCTGTCTCTCTCAGCTGCCCGTAGCCGCTTGGCACGCTTCTCCAGCCATTCTTCGATGGTGCCTGCCGGGAGCACCGTGCCATCCTGTTGCTGCTCTCTTGCTCTCCTCTCCTCTGTTTGGAGAGAAAGGGTAGAATGGAATGGAGTGGAATTAGAGCAGAATAGGATAGGAATAGAGAATAGGATAGGATAGGATAGGATAGAATTAGAGCAGAATAGAATAGAACGGAGAAGGGGAGAAGGAAGGAGAATGGAATGGAATGGAATGGAATAGAATAGAATAGAATTCAGAATAGAATAGAATTCAGAATAGAATAGAATAGAACAGAATAGAATTCAGAATAGAATAGAATAAGAGCAGAATAGAATA